TACTAAAGAATTCTTTTGACTTTTTACAGATTGAATGATTGTTGAAATGTTTTGATAATATCCAGTGATACCAAGATATTGCAGTGCACCTTGATTTTCAATAAGAGTTGCCAATGCTTTGCATGTGCAAGGAGAAATCCGAGAACTTCTATTTTGCGCGATAATGTGGTGAAGATTATTCGCAACTTCAGAAATGTTTTCTATGAAAGTAGAGTCATCATCCTTTTCTAAAAATTGAATCTTTCTCAATTTTTGTAAATTTGGAGCATTCTTATCAAACATTGGAGATTTTACAATTCCAAAATTTCCAGAATGATTAACGAAATGAATCATCTCAGCTCGTTCCAGAAACAATTCACAAAAAGTTTTTTTCAATATGTCAATGTAATGTTGCTTTGGTTTTGTCAAAGTTCTTCGATGAATAATCCATAATTTTGCCATCTCTGAAATACGATCAAAATCTAGGATTCTTAAAAATGAAGGATAATCAAAGAGTGGTGGTCGTCCACGTGGTGCAGGTGGAAAATATATTCCTTCCTTTTTAATATCTTCTTTTATATTCTTGGGAAGACATAGTAAATAGGATCTTGCAAGAAGTTTGGTTGTTTTCTCGGGTGAATAATCACCAGGATAAATTGGTACTCGCCAGAGAACTGGAATTGCTATCTTACACCAATGTCTACTAACCGATATACATGGTCGTAAATTACTAGCTAAATTACACGATCGTGTATCAATGATTATTAAATTTTCAAAAATCTCTTTCAGGATTTCTGTTGACAGTAAGTTTATCGACATATTGTAAAGAATTTTATTCTCATTCGTTGTTTTTTTGTACAAAAACTTTTATAACTATTTCGAAAATTATTTCGAAAATTATTTCGAAGAAAAGAAAAAATCAAAATTTGGTGGCTGTGATCGTTTAATTTTTCGTCCCTTTTATAATCATCTGCATTTGCATTATCATTGTGATTATGTCATGCATAAATGCCGTTTAGTACATATATGTATATACTACTGTTGTATTTTTTTTTTTCACTTTTTAACACAAAAATTACGTTACTCTAAGATCTGATTGGTTGATTTGATACATGCATTGAGTAAAAAAAGACGAGTTTTTTTTTTTGACTTTAATAAACTATAAAATTGAATTATTTAGACTTTTAGCTCGTTATAAACGTAGTAATCTTAAAAATTATACGTTCAAGTCTGATTAGTTGTCATTTAAGATTTTTTAAATGTTTCTTATATTTAGGGCTTGATACGAACTGGTACCGGGCAATGATGTTATTTACGCCGTAATTCTCAAAATAATATTTAAATTGTAAACACTGAAATTAGAACTTGTATCTGCCCAGTTGAAATAACTAGTGTACTGTACAAGCATTAGGGTGCTGTTTCAAATAAGTTTATATATCTATATTTTAATTTCTTTGCCAACATTAACTTCTAATTCCGCATGCTATATGCTAACATTAATCTTGGTATCACTGGATATTATCAAAACATTTCAACAATCATTCAATCTGTAAAAAGTCAAAAGAATTCTTTAGTA